CCACATGCGTGTAGTTCCAAGGACAGCTTTGGGGAGTTGGTCCTCGTTCCATCTTCCTTGTGTGATGCTGTGAGCTCCAGGCTGGCTGGCTGCCTGCTCATCTCCCCACAGGAGTCCTGGGACTGCAGATGCCGGCTTTCACATAGGTTCTGAGACTCTGCACTCTTTGGAGTGTCAGGCTGATGTGGCAGTGCTTTTGCCTGCAGCACCACCTGTCAGCCCACACTGGGGTTTTGTATCTTGATCTTATGCCCTGTGGCCTCACTAGCTTGGTTTTTAACTCTGGTGAATTTCATATCGATTTTGTAGGGTGTCCTGCACATGGGATCTTCTGTGTGTCATGTATGAACAGAGTCTGCTTCTTCCTTTCTTGGTTTCTTTGCCCTGCTTTTGACACCGATCAGTCACCCTAGAGAAGCACCCTTCTTCACCAGCCCTACCTGACTCAGTGTCTCTCCGTTGGATGCAAGGACAGCTGTGTGTCCTGCTGAGGGGGTCCGTTTATCCTGGGTTTGCTAGGGGCTTTTGTCATGGGTGGGGTTGACCAGGTCACAGACAAAGCCTATAAGCTGTTGCATCCCACGCTTGCTAAGAACAGTCAGAAGTTCTGAACTTCAGAAGACAGCAGAGAAAAACTGAAGGAGAAGGTAAGGGAGACCAAGGCTCCCAGGGCCCAGGGGTCAGGAGGCATGAATCTCCTCTGACCTGGAGTGAGGCTGAGCCAACATCTGGAAATATAGCTAGGTTCTCCCAAAAAATAATGATGGAAAGCCCAACAAAAGCCCCTTCTCTCTGGCTAAAGCAAAGAATGGTGGGGCTGGTGAGATGGCTCAAGGGGTAAAGGTGAGTTTAGCACCAAGAATGACAGCCTGACTTCAGTCCCTGGGACCCATGCGGTAGAAGAGAAAACCAACTCCCAGAAGCTATCCTCTTATCTCCAAATGTGTAGCACACGTATCCCTAGATACACACACACACATAACACATTACCACTACCACCACACAACATACAACGCACAAAAGAATAGACTTCAACATATTAACTGTGTGTGCGTGTATATGTGTGTATGTGTGCGTGCCCATGAGTATAGAGGCCCACAGAGTCAGAGCTACAGGCAGTTATGAGTCATCTGACATGGATTTTGGAAACTAAACTCAGTTCTCTGCAAGAACAGTATGCAGTCTTGACCACTGAGCCATCTCTCCAGCCCCTAAATAAATAAAATGTAATTTAAATTAAAAATTTAAAATCAAAGAAACAAATGATGAGGCAGGAAGATAAATTGCTAGGACAGTCACCTTGCTCTAATTTCCATGGGAATCACTATGCACACACCCTGTGCCATGCAGAGATAGAGTGCAGCCCACCACTTCCCCCACACCCTGGAAAGGGACCATCATCATTCCCCATGTCAGGCCTAATGAGGGGACAGAACTGTCCCACTTTCTGATGAGGGAGCCTTCTCCCCACATGGTTAATGGGAGCACAGGGATCAGGAAGCCCTAGGCTGCCGGACAGTGCTGAGCCCTTTCAGTGCTCTGTGGTGTCAGCAAAGGCCATGGAGGAGCAGACCTGACAGTGATCCCATGTGATCTTCCTTCCCCGTGGAGGAGGGAGGTTGGCTTGAGATTCCATCCTTTATCACACTGCTTGAAACATTTGGAAACTTCCAGGTTCCATCAGGAACCAGGAAATGCTCAGCCCGAAGGAGCAATGACAGCTGGCCCACACAGGGGAAAGTACAGATGTGTGACTCACCTGCCAAAGATCCGAAAGTGGCCATCACAAAACTGCTTCAACCAGACATTGTGATCATGGTCTTCCTCTACCTGCCTTTCACTCCACCTGGGATGTAGGGAAGTGACCAGTCCAGGCCCCTCACTCCTTCCTTCATTGTTAAAGTTCTGGCAGGTTCTAGGTCTCCTCAGCTAGGCTGCTGGAGTGGCTGTTATCTCCTCCAGTTTGTTTTCCCTACACACTTCAGCCTCTGGGTATGTTTCCCTCTCCACTGAAAATGCATCCAGGCTCTGGTGACAGCAAGCTGCTCGTTTTCACGGTAGACAGCGGGGATGCCATGTGGGTTGGGGTGATCAGGGTCCTGGCAAAAGGCTGCAGGCTGCCACTGTTCTCAGCCAAAGTTCCAGAAGCTATTTGTGTATTGTGTGTCTTTGCCTAGTTTCTTAGGCCCTGAAATCATTTTGTCAATTTTGTTAAAGTTTTATACTTTTGGGGGGGAGGAGTAGGGGAGGACCACTTTGCTTAGCATGGCTGCAAGGCACCCCCCCCCAACCTCACCCTGGTTTTGTTTTCATTTTTAGGACTTAAAATTCTTATTTTATGTGTATGAACCATCTCCCCAGCCCTTGATATTCAATGAAATAGAATAGAATCCTGGTGCCGGGCAGGCTTGGTTGTAGAGTGCTTGTCTAGTGTGTATGTGGCCCAGGGTTCCATCTCCAGTCACCAAAGCCAAAGAGAAGCTCTGCCTGGGATCATGTCACAGGTCCAACCTCCTTCACACAGCACTGTGACACCATTCTTTGTAAGCGCCCATGGTTACTTAATGGGCCACGGTCACCTGCTATGGCCATGAGGAGTTAAATCAACCAGGTTGGAAGGGACACAGCACAATTAAGGCTGTGACAATGCTATTGAGAGTGATCATACTTTTTATACCTTTATTAGAAACAGAATATAATGGCAATTGCCAGGATCAATACAGTTGTAGTTGCTAGGATAGAGTGAAGTTTGCAAGTCATACAGGGTACACAAGATTAATGTCTAAGACCAATTGTCTTATCAAATTTCTGTGCTCCTTGACCGCTAAGGGAACATACAGAGAAACACAAAATGGCCTAAATGCTTCACTGCCTGAGTGGGAGCATCAGTCTCTCAGGAACTGGAAGGCACATTGTGCCCCAGGAGCCACGGCTCTCACCTGAAAAACCCACAACACATGCCTCTCAAGGCAACTAGGCCAAGCCAACTCCCTGGTTCCCTGCAGTCTATACTGTTGGAATAATCTCTCCCCTCCTTTTTATGGCTGTGGCTTTCTACTATGTGACCACCAGTGCTTCTGTGTCCCCTAGAGGATTCTTTCCAGTTTGGGGGATTTTGAGCAAGGAGATTCCCATCCAGTCATTGGGGAACACACCTACACTTCTGTTAGGATAAGTAACAGAACTGAGTCATGAGGTCACACAGCACACACCAGTTTAGCTTTTATAGAACTGGCTGTGGCGTGCTGGACGTGGCTCCTCCAGACAGATCTACCTGTGGTGAGCACAATGTGATCAGGCTAAAAAGGCTAGAAGCCATCTTAGAGTAGCTCAGCAGACTCCAGAGGAGTCATGACAGGCAGGTGGGGATTAGATAGCTGCAGAGGAACAGTCAAAGACACAGGAGGGCATGGTACAGCCCTGTCACCAGCCAGGAGAGCCACATCCACCAGAGGCTGGACAGGGCCAGTCTCCCCAGAGACTCTGGAAATAGTGCTACACACTGCTTCAGTCTTGTGAGACTGATTTTGTAATTCTGGCCTGTACAAAGGTGAGAAAATAAACTCCCACTGAATTTGGCCATCAGATGGATCTAGGTCAAACTCCTAGGGCCACATCCTTAAAGAAAACCTACTCTCCAGAAGCTCAGGGGCGGGGCTCATAAGCCCATCCCTGGTCTATATTAGAATGTTGACTTCTTTGATCCTGTGCAAGCAACCACAGCTGCTGAGAGCTCATGGCCTCAGCAGTCCTGTGGTATCCAGAGCATGCTTGCTCTGGCCCTCTGGCTCCTACAGACTCTCTGCCCTATCTTCCATGATGCTCCCTGAGCCTTGGGGTGGGGGTTGGGGGACAACATAGATGTCTCATTTGTGACTGAGTATTGCACTGATAAAAGTGTAGAGAATAAGTACCAGGGGAGTGCACACTTGGCTTTTTAAACGTGGGTGCTGAGGATTTGGACTCAGGTCCTTATGCTTGCACAGTGAATATTCTTACCCACTGAGCCACACCCCAAGCTCTTAGTGATGTAATCTTGTGGGGAGGGGCACCGTGAAATGCGTGATGGCATCATGGAGCAAAAGCAGCAGTGTGCACACAGGACAGTGTTTTCATAGGAAAGGGTATGCATGAGGCAGTGCAGAGGCTGAGGAGCAGGAACGTGTGAGCCTCTCATTTCCTTCCACCTTCTAGTGTTTTCTATCTAAATGATCATGGGTCACCAGATCCTAAAACTGCCCTGACTCCTCCCACAGGTGCCCCAGTGTTCTTGGTGGAGCCTCGGGACCTGACAGTGAGGTTAGGAGAGGATGTGGAGCTGCGGTGCCAAGCCACTGGAGAGCCTGTGCCCACAATCGAGTGGCTACGGGCAGGTCGACCACTACAGGCTGACCGGAGGCTCAGGACCCTGCCAGATGGTAGCCTATGGCTGGGGCATGTGGAAGCTGGAGACGCTGGGGCGTATGAGTGTGTTGCACACAACCTTCTGGGCTCTGCCACAGCCCAGGCATTGCTGGCTGTGAGAGGTAAGGAGTGTCCCTACCTAGGTCTCCAGACTGAGTCTGGTGGGTATGCCTGCAGCTTCCCAGTTCTTCCCTAAGAGTTAGCATGGACCAGCTGGGAGATCTACAGAGATCATCTTGTCTGAGGAATCGAGATCTCAGAAGGGCTAAGCATTTACCACACACCTTTGCCAGGGAATCTGGCTGTTCTGGGTCATCTGGCATTGTCCCACAAGCTTCATTTGGATACCCCACGGCCCCATGGAAAGGGCAGAATCAAATAAGATTCCTCATGATGTCCTCATAGAGTTTGCTGTGAACATCTGTGAGTCAGTGCTCATCTCAAGGCTCACACACAGCCATAGTAGGTCCTCAAATGGATGCTACTGACCCCTGTAACTAACTGGTGTTACTGACTCCTACCATCTAGAGATCCCTAATTCAGCCCCCTTCCCCTTAGGGTCAGACTAAACTTGAATATTGAAAAGGGGTGGCTGGGCAGTGGTGGTTCACACCTTTAATCCCAGCACTCATGAGGCAGAGGCAGGTGGATCTCTGTGAGTTTGAGGCCAGCCTGGTCTACAGAGTGAGTTCCAGGACAACCTCCAAAGCCACAGAGAAACCCTGTCTTGAGAAACTAAAACCCAAAACAAAACAAGCAAACAAAACATTAAAAGGGGGTGTTCTGAGAAACCACAATAAAACAATTCAAGCCAACATAAAGAAAAGTCACAGAATATTGTTTCTGGGTTGTCTGTCTCTGTACCAAATACCTGGGGTACCAAATACCCCAGGTACGTGGATTTGTATCTCTTCTCTGTCAATGGCAGACATCACCAATCTATCTACACACACACACACACACACACACACACACACACACACACCAGAATCTCTTTCCATAAGACCCTTCTCTAACCCTGCCTATGGCAGACATCACCAGTCTGTCTCCACCCAGTGTCACAATCCTCTCTATAGATCCCTTTTCCAGCCAGGACCTCTTAAAAAATAAGGATTTGACATTTTTCAAGCAAACATGGGAACCTTCCTGGTCTCTAGTTTCCTCATCTGTAAACAGGAGCAAGATGTTAACAAATGTATCCAGACATTTCAGTGGTTCTTGGACACCCAGCGGTGACTTCTGGTCTGAAGGACTTCCCTCTATTTAGAGCTTGGTCCCAACTCCTCCTGTATCCTGGTGACAAGCTCCCAGTTCAAACCACAAAGCTCTGTGTATATTCTCTGTGTTGGTTTCCAAGGTGGACATAACAAAATCCACAGACTGGGGCGTAACTAACAGACACTGTCTCAGTTTTAGAGGTTGGTGGTCCAAGGTTGGAGCCTTGGAAGGGCTGCTTCATCCTGAGCCTATGCAGGAGACTCTCATCCTAGCTTCTGGAATCTTCTGGCTGGCATTGGCATTCCTTGGCTGCTAGAAGAATTGCCCAATCTCTACCTTTATTGGCATGTGGCAGTCTCCCTGCGTCTGTCTATGTGGTGGTTTGAATGAGAGTGGGCCCCATAGGCTCATGTTCGAATGCTGCATCCCCGGTTGATGAACTGTTTGGAAGGATTGGGAGGTGTGGCCTTGTTGGTGGAGGTGCATCACAGGCAGGCTTTGAAATTTCAAAAGCTCACACCAGGCCTAGTCTGTCTCTGTCTCTGTCTCTGTCTCTGTCTCTCTCTCTCTCTCTCTGCCTGCTGCCTGTGGATCAGGATGTAAAGCTCTCAGCTACTGCTCCAGGGCCATGCCTGTGTGCTTCCCGCCATGATGATCATGAACTAAGCCTCTAAAACTGTGAGAACTGCCTTGGTCATGGTGTCTCTTCACAGCAATAGAACAGTGACTAAAGACAGCGTCTAATTTCCTAATTTTTATGAAGCCAGCAGGCATACCGGGCCAGGGCTCACCCTGATATCTTCATTTCCACATGCTGTCTTCTGTGAAGACCCGGTTTCTAAGTGAGGTCCCAGGGTTAGATCATTAAGGTGTGAAAGAGGAGGTGGAGTGGGGAGGGACCCAAACCACTGCAGCTCTTTATTTAGTGCAAACAACTGTTTTCCTTCATATATACTAATTACAGGAAGGCCAGGGAGTATAGAATCTGAAATCAGAAAGTAGTTATTACCCATAATTCATCTATCAGGAAGTGCTTACATGATTCTTTTTAGATTTTTTATGTATTTGTGTGGCGGATGGTATGTGTGTCACAGCACATGGGCAGAAATCATAGGACCATTTTGTGGAGTTGGCTCTTTCATCCGTGCTTACGTAACTCTTGGTGATTTAGTTTATCTTAGTTTTGTGACACTCTCACTCTGTAGCCCAGGCTGGCCCTAGAACTCATGACAGGCACAAGCCACCATGTCTGGCTCCAGTTTTTTGTTGGTTTCTCTCCAATTGTAAATTGACGTGCTCTTGCTGCCTATAAAATGTATAGGGTAGCTTTAAAGTTGCCCTTTGTCTGTTCCTGATGACATTCCATGATAATCTGCCTGGAGATACATTTTTATTGGCTTCATCTCATTGCACAAGCTGTTTCCATCTACACTCTAGCTGTGAGAGACAAACTGTAGCTTCCTGTTTCAGCCTCCCTCCCACCTTCTCCATGGGGGGCTTCAGGGTTTCCCTGGTTTAAGTTCCTTCAAGGGGTTTGTTGTGTAAAGGATTTTGAAGTTCTTTTATTTGGTTGTGGGGTGTGTGTGTGTGTGTGTGTGTGTGTGTGTGTATTCGCAAGCATGTGCACATGTGTAGGTGAAGAAACAGAGGTTGACTCTGAGTATCTTCCTCTAGTGCTCTCCGGCCCTTTAAAAAGACTTTAGCTGTTTTTACTTATGTATATGTGTGTGTGCCTGTGTGAATGGATGTGCCCCATGTGAGCACAGGTGCCTGCAGGAGCCAAAAGAGGGTGTTGGATTCCTTGGGGCTGGAGTCACAGGTGATTATGAGCTGCCGTGTGGAAAAGAATAGCATGCTCTACATAGCCGTCTCTCCAGCCTTCCGCCTTATTTTGTGTTTGAGACAAGGTCTCTCACTGACCCAGTGTTCACCAGCTTCCCTGACTGTGTCTGGCCAGCAAGCTCTAGGGGTCTGCCTTCCTTGCTCCTCTCTCTCCCCACAGCATAGGGTTACAGGCATGTGTCACTATGCCAGGCATTTATGTGAGTGCATCCCAGCTTGGGTTTTCATCCTTGTCCATCAGGTACTTTACCCACTGAGCCATCTCTCCAGCCCGTTTTGTTTATTTGTTGCTGTTTCATTGGTTTGATTGGTTTTAGTTTTGGAGTCCTGGGGGTGGAACCAATTAGGCAAGCACTGAGTTGTTCCTGCACCCTGCTGAAGTTCAAGTTTTTGAGGCCCCGTGACTACAAACCTGTCTCTCCTCCCTGCTGCTTTATTCTTTCTGCTCCATCGGCATGGGTGTATGTCTGAGTCCTGGCTGTTGGGGGAGGGGCCCGGCGGGGGGAGAAGGGACACGATGGCAAGAGGCTGCTGAGACTCCTCAGGTCTGAAAAGTAGCCTGTCCTCCAGAGCTCCAGGCTTCTTGGCCTCCAGGGACCTGGGCCATGCTCCCATCTTCCTCCCATGCAGAAGCCCATTATGAAACAGATATTGATGAGCAGCATTCCAGGTATCACCAGACCTCAGCCGAGGGCTGCACTTCCTAGAACCGGCATTAGCCAGTCCTGATTGGCCATTTAAGATCCTGGCCATGGAATGTTCTGTGTGTGTTTGGGTTATTATATTTTTGACAGCTCATCTGCAATTTGTTGTTAATTTCCCCTGAGGGCTGGTGAGTGGAGAGCCAGGCTCCCTCTGTCTTGTGCCCCCTGGAAGGCCATCCGCCCAAAGGAGGCAGCTGGCTCATTAGGCAGAGGAAGCAGGCGTCCCATGGGCCTGTGCCATCCATTGAATTTGTGCAGGAGAGCATCTGCTAGGACTGCCTGGCGGTCTCTGGGCAGCTGGCCTGCTCCGGCTGGATCTGGCTGGAACCAGAGCCACTGATGGAGTGGGGATACTCTGGTGATGGCACTCACTTCTTGGCATGGCACCCTGTCCCTACAGCGCGCCAATCCCTGTCATCATAGCTCCTAGCAATTTTGAGAGCCATAGGCCTTATGTGTGTCTGTGGACCCACCTCCTCATTTTATAAACAAACCACTTGGATTCGACCTAGGGACCTAATTTGCCTGGCTTTGTGCATATGTGTGCAAGCATGGGTGCAGGTACATGTGGGGGGTACATGTGTATGTAGGTACATATGTAGGCCAGATGGCAACTTGTGCCACTTCCCAGGGGCTGTCCACCTTGTTTTTGAGGCAGGATATTTCACTGAACCCATTAGGCTAGGACAGCTAGCCAGTGAGTCCTGGGGAGCCACCTCTGCCATCTCTGCCCCTCAAGCACCAAGATTACAAGTATATGCCACCATGGCTGACATTTTTATGTGAGTTCTGGGGATCAGACTCAGGTCCTCATGCTTGTGTGACAAGCACTTTACCAGCTGAGTGATCTCCCCAGACTCAGTCTCCTTTGTTTTAGAGTCAAAATCTTCTACACCTTGAGTCTATTACTTATTAGCTATGTGTCTATGGACAAATTACAGTACCGTTATAAACCTCAGTTTCCTCTTTAATGAAATGGGAGCAGTGACTTTGCTTGGAGGACTCAGAATAGATAGTATGTGTCACTATTGTTTGTCTCCTGCCTCACAGGGGAGCCCCGGGGCAGCCGGGGTAGCATGATCGGGGTCATCAATGGTCAGGAATTTGGTATGGCTACTCTCAACACCAGTGTGCAACAGGAAGGCAGTTCTGGGGTCGCAACCATCTGGAGCAGCATCAGCCACGTTCCAGCAAGTGTGGGTATGTGGGGGCCCTGGGACACTTGCTGGACCCACAGGGCAAGAATGGCTATTCCGAAGCTTGTTCAAGGCCTGGCACCTGGATATAGGACTGCCTCTAAGAGCGGAGTCCCTCTCCTGCTCACAGGCTCCCACCCTCTACCTCTATCATGAAACAAAGCCACTGCACTTGAAATCACACAGGGAGAGAGTGATAGGAGTACAATACTGCCTCAGGAGCTCAGAGAAAGACGGGTGATGCCACTTACTCTTGGGGACAGTTTTCTACCCCCCCCCCCATGAAATCTGGTAGAAAAGTGAAGAATCACCGGAAATGATTAACAGACATGAGCTGGAGAGGACAGACAGAAGGAAAGGTGGAGCATTCCATCATCTAAAGAAACAGGAGGCATGCACTTGCTCATAGATTCAGGAAGCAGGGTGTCCTGAGCAGAAAGTCCAAGAGGCTCACATAGGGGACCCAAGGCCCCTTCTGGGGACCCAGTGCAGGGAAAGGCCTAGCCAAGTTCTCAGTAGGAGCGGCTGTTCAGAAGCCTCAGTTAATTGGTTTTGTTTTGGTTCTGTATTTGTTTATAGAGTCATTTATTTTTATTTTGTCTATATGAATGTTTTGCCTGTATATATGTGTGTACGATCCCACGCATGCTGGCGGTGCCTGTAGAGGCCAGAAAAGACCACTGGGGCCCTTGGAGCTGGAGTTACAGGTGGTTGTGAGCCACTATGTGGCTGCTGGGAATTGAACCCAGATTATCTGCAAGAGCAACAAGTGCCCTTAACTGGAGACATCGTTCCCACGCTTTAATGACCAGACTCTGAGCCACTGTCAGCAGAAACCAAATTAAGCCAGATGGCTGCCTAGGTATGACCACTGCTTCCAGCTGCAGAAGCTAGAGAGAAACATCTAGGCCCAGGCCCAGTGAGCTTGAGATTAGTGGAAAATAGTTGGAAGGGATCTAGCTCCCTCCTGTCACCCCATCATCTTCTGCCAATGTCCCTGACCCTGAGGAAGCTTGAGTGAGCAATGCTCCCCTGGCCCAACCTGTGGCTTCTCCTAGCCCTAAGAGGTCCGGGTGTCACAGAAGGTTCTGACAATCCACACCCAGGGCAGTCAGCAGCTCAGAACACTCCTTCCTCCCACAGCTCTTGCGGAAGTTGTCTACAACACAGGAAACGTGGTTGATCACCTACTTGTCCCAACAGCCTATAGCTGTCACTATAGAAGCATGTGCTGAACCTGGCTAAATATCACGTCCCATGCATTCCTTTATTATGTTTGCTTTTGTGCCTGCACCATAAAGTATATGTTTGATTTTGCCCTCTCCCAGGGTCTGCTAAATACCTGGCATGGGTAGTCACTAAGACTGAGTATGAGCAGGGAGGGAGAGGCTGCACCTTCTGAAGCAAAGGGGAGCTGCAGAGGGATCTTGATCAGGAGAGTGGCTGCCCCAGGCTCCAGTCCTAACATAGCCTCTGCATTCTGCTGTATCCAGGGCCTCTAATGCGGGTGCTGGTGGTCACCATTGCCCCCATCTACTGGGCCCTGGCTAGAGAGAGTGGAGGGGCCTTAAATGGCTATTCCCTGACGGGTGGCAGCTTCCAGCAGGAGTCACACATGGAATTTTCTACAGGTGAGCATGGTCTCCTTGAAGGTGGCTGGAGGCAGGGCCTGAGAGAGAGCTCAGGACTGCGTCTGAGATAACTCCAGGCTGGGTGGGGATGGCTTGCAGGGGAGCTGCTCACAATGACCCAGATGGCTCGGGGTCTGGATCCTGATGGACTCCTACTCCTGGAGGTGACAATCAATGGCATGATCCCAGAGAGCCTGGCCGATGCAGATCTGCATATGCAGGTACTAGCTCTGGGCTGCTCCACCCTCCAATCCTGAGCAGACGGGCCCACTTTCCTTCCTCATACCCCAGAAGCGGGTTATGACAGGTCTCAAGTAGGAACTGTCACTCAGGAGCCAGCATTCCTCCCACTCCGTTGACAAGAACATCACAGGCATGGTGCTGCTCCTGGCTGCCAGCGGCTTGGCAGAAGAGGCCGAGGAGGCTTGCCCAGTGCTCTCCACACAGCACCCTAGCTACCTCCGGGCTGCTCTAAAGTGGAACCCTCCCTGCCCCTCCCCCCAGGACTTCCAGGAGAACTACGTGCAGACAGGGCCTGGCCAGCTGTTCGTGGGCTCCACACAGCACTTCCTCCATGATAGTCTCCCAGCGTCTCTGCGTTGCAATCATAGCATCCAGTATGATAAGGCCCGGGGCCCCCAGCCCCAGCTGGTGCAGCACCTTCGGGCCTCATCTATCAGCTCAACCTTCGACCCTGAGGCAGAGGCCCTGCGCTTCCAGCTCACCACAGCCCTGCAAGCTGGTGAGGCCCTGCCCCACCTCCACTGTACCAGCTAAGACCTGCCAGAGCCCCAAATTCAAGTGGCCATTTGCACTAAGCACAGGCTGGGGACAGGGGCATGCTTGAGGCAACAGTTTACCTCCTCCTCTACCCTTTCCAGCCTGGCCCCTGCCACTCTAGCAGGGACTATGTCCCTCCTCAGACCACTCCTACCCAGACCTTTGAAGCCTTTCCCTAGACTAAGATGCACTCCACACCCCAAGCCTAGACCAAACCCACCCCTTTCTCCCAAGGTGCCTGCACCAAAGGCCCCATGGTTGCAACCTCTGGTGACCTACCTCAGCATGCCAAAAGTACCATTTATCATTGCTTAAGTTCACGAGGGGCTTATCACTGAACAAGGAATGCTGGGAAGAGCAGGGCTGTGAGGCCACACACCCAGATTCAGATCCTATCAGCACTACTTCCCAGCTGTGAGCCTGAGGGGATGTCCCGTTTCCCAGCTGCACTGTGAACATGGTGCTGCTCCATTTCCAGGGGCTCTGCCCCTAAAGCCCTGACTGGCCCCCAGTGACCGCCTTAATAAGGGTGGCTGTCCCTACAGTTGTCAAGGCTGTCCTGTCTGTCTCCTTCATCTCTTGTTGGCTGTTGAAGGCTATGGTGACCCTCTGTGCATGGCTGCTGGCTTCTCCTGAGCAGTTTTGGACATGTTACCTTGAACAGTCTACGTTTCTCTAGTGGTTTCTCTTGAGTTTGCCTGGATCTCTGCCTAACCTCCCTTGAGAGCTCCCAGGGCACATCTACAAGACCAGGCATGTCCCACAGCCACCACTTCCAACAAACCTGGGCTAAGGGCTAGCTTGCTATCTCACTGTCACATGTGTGGTTCAAGGCTGGGGCTGAGCCGTGGCACAGTGGCCACTGCCTGTACCAGCCCAAGGAGCAAGCCCAAGATGCCCCTGGAAACTGGCTTCCTCAGGGTCCCCCCTTTTGCCTTACAGAAGAAAATGAGGTTGGCTGTCCTGAGGGCTTTGAGATGGACACCCAGGGAACATTTTGTGTGGGTGAGTCCTTCCAGCCCCTGGTATGAACAAAGGTGACCTCTCCTAGGGTGCACAGCCACCCCAGCCAGCTTGCAGGAGAGCCTGTGGGCACAGTCAAATGTCTCCCAACCCAGACAGGAATGAATGCTCAGCGGGCCCCAGCCCCTGCTCACACACCTGCCGCAATGCTCCTGGCCATTTCTCCTGCTCCTGCCCTACCGGCTTCACCCTGGCCCGGGACCACAGGAACTGTCGAGGTGAGCAGCCCCAGGGACAGCGAAAGTAGGCTCCTCAGGGCCTTGACCCAGAGGGAATCAGATGCTATGGAGGGGGCATTTTCCAGAAGATATTGAGGCTCAGGTGGCAGGGTGGTGAGGAACCCCACAGACAAACATGTGGTCCCTGTGTGTTCAGGACACTCAAGTCCAGAAAGTGTCCCAACAGCAGCTTCAAGTCTTGGTAGCACTGCCCCTCCTCCCCCGGTTCTCCTAATTTTCTGAGTAGTAACTGAATGACAGGTCACACTCTGACACTAACCTGTGTCTTCACCTGTCATTCCCAGTAGTGGGGCCTGGCCCTAGCAAGTTTCCCTTGGCTTTCTAGCCAAGGGCTCCAAGGGGACGTAGTCCACAACCTTCCATTGCAACTACAGGTTGGGGAAACATTCATGCCAGGGACTTAGGCTGTGTGAGTAGGCTAGGCCAGGGTGTAAGGATGGCTTCGGGGAGGGCACATGTTCACATGAGCCCCTGCATGCTCTGCCCTCAGATGTGGATGAGTGTGTGGGAGACACCCACCTCTGCCAGGAGGGGCAGCGCTGTGTGAACCTGCTTGGAACCTATAACTGCCTCCCTGACTGTAGGCCTGGCTTCCGGGTAACTGCTGATGGAAACAGCTGTGAAGGTGACAGGGGCACAAGGCGGGCCTGATCATACTCCCAAGAACCCAGAGAATGTTGCTGGGATTCTGGGCATCTAGAACTCTCTTGGCAGAATTCCCAGATCTGGGGTTTTCCTGTCTTTTCCATTCTTGACCTCTACCCACCTGCACTTGATGAAGGAGGGAGTAAGCCAGAGACAGCAAATAGGCCAATTCCCTTCACTCCTACCCCCATGTTGTGGTCCAGACTAGACACAGTCTCTGAGTCCTTTTCAACACAGCTTCCAGGCAGCCACTGTGTATCAGTTGCAACTGGCCTTTGCATTGACACCCAAGGGCTGTCCCTGAAAGAGGAACCTCCATGCATTCTATGGTTTCATGGCACTGGGACCATCTATGTCACATGATGTTTTCCTGGGCAGGCTGAAACAAACATCTGTTCATCCCAGATCAGACACCAGAGACTGGGAACAATCCCATCAAGTCTAGCATGGTGAACCAGGGAGTTTAGGAGCTACTTACAGAGTTAAGAGTGAGCATTACCTGCAAGAACATAGTGACTCAAAGACACCTGCATCACTGAGGAGTCCACCCTGGCCTGGATGTCGCTTGAAGGATCTCCTCTTCCTTTGTAACCATTATTGTGTATATAGCCCTGAGGGGAGAGATTTGTCAATCTTTAAGTTTCAGGAACTTTCTGGGTCTTAAGAGATTCCTTCCCCTCCCTTCCTCTTTCTTCCTCCTTCCCCCTCCCAACCTTCCTTCATGTCTTCCTATACACACCAGGTCCTTCTGCACACATGACTCCCTTGCCAACACAACAGGAAGAGGGCCTCTTCTTACCCCTCACACATGAGGAACTTGAGACTCAGGGAAGGAGTGCTGCTCACCCAGGGCCTAGAATATGTCAGAGCTCAGCTGGAGCCCAATTCTAAGCCCCTTCCTTTCCTTGGCACCTGGACCCTGTTGCCTTCTAACCTGTGCCGCAGGCAGAATGTGAAGTGCCAGCATGCAGCCTTGTGCAGTCAGAAAAAGGGACAGACAAGGCCTTGCTGTGGAGGGGAGGGTACATCCTTGGAGGAGGCCTCTGAGCCAAACCACTTCTAAGGCCATGCCCGATCAGAAAAAGGGACAGACAAGGCCTTGCTGTGGAGGGGAGTGTACATCCTTGGAGGAGGCCTCTGAGCCAAACCACTTCTAAGGCCATGCCTGTGACCACACCCCTGCCGCCCCAGATGTGGATGAATGTCTGGAGCAGCTGGATGAGTGTCACTACAATCAACTCTGTGAGAACACTGCCGGTAGCCACCACTGCAGCTGCCCCAGGGGGTACCGCCAACAAGGCCATGGCCTTCCCTGCCTAGGTAAGGGAACAGCCAGCCCCTCCCTGGGCCCCGTGTGTCACTCAGCCCTGGCTCAGGACAAGTAGTGTTTATGGTCTGGTGAGTCTTGGAATGATGGAAGCAGCTGAGGCCACTCACCAGAGCCTGTGGACTCCAGAAGGGGAGGAGGTGAAGACCAGGGCAGGACCTCAGAGAGGCCTAGGGGGTAGTATGCATAGCTGTCACTAAGGGCTGTGGAACTCTAAAACCTGGGGTGGGGCTCAGAGCTGGGAGGTGGCCTCTAACTGCAGCCCTAGGCTCAGAGGGTATGCTGGTAGAGGGATCCTCAGGAGGCCAGCCTAAAGGAAACCCCTGTGGAGTGTGTAAGGCATTGAATTCTAGGGAGATGACAGGAAGAGGCAGCTGGAGCCAAGCATAGAGGCACATGCCTCTCATCTTAAGACTCAGGAGACAGAGGCATGAGGATCATGGGTTCAGGAGCACTCTGAGCAAGA